GCAAAAAGGGTTAATCAGGTTTTTTATTCTATTCTTAGGTTTGAGATGCTTGATGCTGCCAAGAACAAGATCCGGGTGAAGGTCAGCTATTTAATGATTGCCCTGACAGTGGCAGGATGCATCTACATGGTCATTGAGGGCAAGAAGGTAAGAGCCGGCTCCTCTCTGCCTCTGCATGCTCTCCCCAAAGACAAGGAGAGCGGTGATTGGCTCCGCCATCTGGTCTGAGAAGGGGAAGGTCTAGGAGGAAGCCACTTCGTATCAATTTACTGACTGATGCTTACTGCACGCCAAGCTCTTCTGAGTGGTGACCTCATTTGCACCTCACAGCAGCTTCGCTAGGTAGATGCTACCATGAGATGAGGAGACCGTAGCTTAGGAAGCTTCAGCAGTGGGCTGGTGAGGGGCTCAGTAGGCACTTGTGACAGGCCTGATGACGTGAGTTTAATCCCTGCATCCCACAAGATGGAAGGAGAGAATCAGCTCCTGAGAACTGTCCTGGAACGTCCACATGTCCTCCGTAGCACATGTGTGCCTGCACACACACTAAATAATAAAACAATAGTTTGTTGTTGTGTTGTTTTGTTTTTTGAGACAGGGTTTCTCTGTGTAACAGTCCTGACTGTCCTGGAACTCACTCTGTAGACCAGACTGGCCTCAAACTCACAGAGACCCACCTGCCTCTGCCTCGAAAGTTTTGGGGATGAAAGGCATGCACCACCACTGTCCAGCAAAACAATAATTCTTACAGTAAGTTTTGGCAGCTTGTCCTGAGCTGTCCCTCTCCCTAGTGACAGAAGTAATTTGAACCCAGACGTACTTGAGGTAGGAGTAAACTTGCTCCCCAGTACTGCATGTTTGTTATGCAGCAGCACCTGTTAAACTCACTGGATGTGAGAGCCTGAGAGAGAGGCTTTCTCATCACCATGCTTTGTAACGAGGGAACAGATGCACCATGCATTTTCCAAAACTCACCTAGTAAGTGGAGAGATAAAAACTTAGATTAAAAAAAATTGAAAGGGCCGGGCGATGGTGGCGCACGCCTTTAATCCCAGCACTCGGGAGGCAGAGCCAGGCGGATCTCTGTGAGTTCGAGGACAGCCTGGGCTACCGACTGAGTTCCAGGAAAGGCACAAAGCTACACAGAGAAACCCTGTCTCGAAAAAAACAAAAAACAAACAAACAAAAAAAAAATTGAAAGGGCTGGAGAGATGGCTCAGAGGTTAAGAGCACTGACTGTTCTTCCAAAGGTCCTGAGTTCAATTCCTAGCAACCACATGGTGGCTCACAACCATCTAAAATTAGACCTGGTGCCCTCTTCTGTCATGCAGGCAGAATACTATATACATAATAAATAAATATTTTTTTAAAAAAAAATCGGAAGAAAAACAAAACTTTAGATCTGATTTTTCATGTTACCAAATGACCTATTAAACTATCTTGTTATTAAGTAAGTTACTTTGGGGGCTGGGGAGATGGCTCAGTGGTTAGGACCACTTGCTGCTCCTACAGAGGACCCAGGTTCAGTTCCCAGCACCCACATGGCAGCTCACAACCATCTGTAACCCCAGTTCCAGGGGATCTGTCTGGTACCTTCTTCTGGCTTTCACAGGTACCAGGCACACATGTGGTTATATGTACGTACATGCAGGCAAATATTTATACCCATAAAATAAAAATAAGTAAAATCTAAAGTGTGTGTGCGCGCGCACGCGTCTAAATTCAAGAGCACACCTTAAGTATCATGTCTAAATCTGTGTCATAGTTGTCACATACAGATATTGTTTAACTGTTAAATAATTTAAAAGATTCTTAAGCTGGGAGATGATGGCGCACACCTTTGATCCCAGCACTCAGGAGGTACAGGCAGGTGGATCTCTGAGTTCGAGTCCAGTCTGGTTCCAGGACAGCCAGGGCTACACAGAGAAACCCTGTCTAAAAAAAAAAAAAAGATTCTTCTATGGACGTGCTTGTCAACTGCTCTCCCCATCCTGGGTGGCTCCAGAGTGAGAAGGAAGTGACCGCTGGCTCGCTGTGCCTTCCCGTCACAGAAGAATCCGAGCCGCTTCAGTCTGGCCTCACAGGAGCACAAGGGGGCAAGTGTGCTGACCTGAGTGAAGTTCTCTTGGAACTGAGCCTGCCTACTTCACTTTTCCTGTCTCGCCATTTGACCTCTCATTCATAATTCTCAGACTGAAACCTTCAGAAGCCTGGGGAAGAGACGTGTGGATTTCTAGACTTCTGGGAAGTACTTAGTAAAAAATCTCCAGAAGCAAGTAATTCCCCTAGGATGGTGTGTGCTAGAATGAAAACCATTAGAAGAGAGGAGTTAGCTACCATCATGCTTTGTCCTTGTCAATGGCATTCTTTTCCCTTCTTTTTCTTCCTCCCATCAAATTCTTCACATGTGAAATAACATGGGTGTCAGAGAATCCCAGGTTCTGTGGCTGCAAGATTCACGGACTTGTCAGAAAAACTGGTCTGATTATATAAGCTTCATAGAAATTAACAGTCCACACTGAAGGAAGCCAGAAGAGTGGAGGGGTGCTTCCCTACTGCCATTTGCTTTGAAAGGGTGGAGTTTGGAGATAGATCATTCTAGAAGTCATCGGGGGTAATATTTTGGTAAAGCCTGGGACTCCCAAAGCTGAATGTTTTTGTTAAAAGAGAAGGAGGGTACTAGAAAGTACACATAGAAGTTAGGGGAGGAGAAGTGAAAGCGAGATGGAGAGGGAATGGTGTTTTTCATTATAAAGAAGAGTGAACGATGCCAGGAAAAGGCAGGATTTGGAAAAAGAGGTCATAAAGGCAGAGCCATGTACTTCTCTCCTGGGATGGGTTGGACTCTCGAGTCAGAGAGAATAGAAGGTGTGTGAGGACACTGCTGTGCCCAGCGTCCAGGCACTGACGGGTTCTGGCCACGTTAGCCTGCTGTTTTCAGCACCGGGGCAGCACATCCTCCCCAGCCTGCCATCATCAGCTCTTCAATTCTGGTTCCTTTTAGGCTGCGAAAAGACACGAGTCCTTAACAAGCTTGAACCTAGAAAGGAAAGCCCGTCTGAGAGAGGAAGCAGCTATGAAGGCCAAAACAGAGTAGAAGTGTTTGTGCTGGATTCGGAAAACCTGGGAGAAAGGCTGTGATAACAAGCCTGCATCGGGAAGAACGTGATACGAGTCACACTTTGCAGACATACGCTTTGCACAGATTTATTCCACTTCCCTATTTCTGCTGTAGAGGAACAAATAAATTTTCTTAAAGAATGACTTGTGTTTTGTTGCTTTGATCCAAGTAAAACAGCCTCCCCACTCTCCTGAAAAAGTGAAAAAGAGGCCCCTAATTTCAAATTTAATACTAGCTCTCTTTGGAGCATCAGGTACCCTACCTAACTTCTACTCACATACCAAAGTTGACGTATCTGAGGCCCAAAGAGTGTGGGTCTTCTCTGTTCTTTATATGTCTGAAGGGACAATTGGACTAGGTGGATATACTGTCCAGATGCATGTTGGGAAGCCAGCCTTCCAAATGGCAGGGTGCTTTTGGGAAGACTGGCTCCCCAGAGACTCGAAAGCAGCCAGACCACACACTGCATTTATTGTCTAGCATCCCAGTAGGCAGAGGCATTTAGACGAGCCTTTGAGAAAGAATGCCCTGGCACAGTCATGAGAGTAGGCTGGCCAAGAGTTACGAGGTGTTTCTCATTCATCATGGAATTGCTGGGAGCCAGCTGCCACCTCCTAGTTCATGGTTTGGCGTCCAGCTAGCCCCTTTCCTACTTCTGGGGAATTAAATTTTATACTTATGAAAATACCATCCCATTCTTGTTTGTTAATGTTTCATTAGTCTTCTTACGCTACCACGGTGTCTAGTATTTAGGTGGTTTCTGCTATAAACATTTCAGTGACTTTCACATGCCTCTGTCATGCTAACAGATGACAGGGCATTATAGCCACCCAACACACTACTTCTCAGAGTTAATGGTTGTGGTTTTAAAAGTACTATGTGCCACTGTCCGGGAACTTAATGAGCTATATTAGCAATGGAATGCTGCCAATAGCTTCATGGTCTAATAATCATGATCTTGATGCTATCTGTCTATACACTGTATTTTTTTATTTATTTATTTTTCACTTTAGGTATCAAATGCTTTGGTTTTTGTCACTTGTGAATTTATTATCAAAAAACACTGTTTCTTGTACATTTTTAGAAAACTGATTTTCCTAAGTATTTTGGGACCCCCCCCTCCAAGCCCATGTTTTAAGTTTTGGTAAATTCTGGTGTAGAACTTCCTTATGGAACCTTCCTTCATATAGCAATGACATTTTCATTGAAGAGCAGTGAGAAGTCTATCTTAAAGCCTGTGATAAAGATACCCCACCAATTTATGCAATCATTTTTACTGTGTGTCATTCTCTATTTAGTAACATACCATGACTATTTCTTTATGGGTCTAAACTCTTTAATAATAATTTTTTTCAATTATTTTTATCTTGTCTCTGTGTTGGGGGATATATATCCATGCCACGGAATGAATATTGGAATCCAAGAACAACCTGCAGGAATGTGTTCTCTCCTACTCAGGTCCCAGGGGTGGATCATGGGTCATCAGGATTAGCAGCAAGTTTTTCCACCCACTGATCTGTCATCACACCCACCCAAATTTAAATGTCTTGGTCAGAATTTCAATTATGCCCCTAACTGATCTTGCATCTTCCAATGTAATCAAATACACCAGCATCTTGACAGTCATACCCTACAAGTAATTCTAATATATTTCTCAGAACTTGTCAGGAAGATAAAATATTGCCCATGTTGCTTTCAGTTAAAGTACTGTAGTATTATTTTTTTCTTAACCTCAGGGTTTTCATCTGCATGTTTTTCTATATTTTCTCTAAGCCCTGTGTGGATACAGTCAATATATAGGTCCGAGATGTTGGTGCTATAGAGATTAGCATAGGTGCCTTTCACTTAGTATGTGGAGCTACCGTAAACTATTTCTTAGTCAATTTTATAGTCTGGAGAATTTATTACTAAAATTTATTGACAAAAAGTAAGGAATGAAGTTATGGTATCATTCATTGTCCGGTAAATATCAAGTCCTCTAGAAAAAGCCAAGACTACAGAGACAAAACTTAAAGCCCGATCTTAGTGTTTATTGTCTAAATAATACATGGCCCATGAAATCACCTCAACTGCAAGTTGATAACTGTAAACTTTGAGCTTTATAAGAAACTGTAAAGGGGATGGAGAGATGGCTCAGAGGTTAAGAGCACTGACTGTTCTTCCAGAGGTCCTGAGTTCAATTCCCAGCACCCACATGGTGGCTCACAACCATTTATAATGAGATCTGGTGCCCTCTTCTGTGTACATAATAAATAAATAAATCTTTTAAAAAAATTAAAAAAAAAAAGAAACTGTAAAAAGGAGGGGGAAAAGCTACCTCAGCTGCTCACTGAGGTGGCAGGCAGGCAACCATGGTATTTATAAGGTGATGCCTGAGTTGAATGATGATGTTGGGCAGGAGTTAGGAGGTCTAATACTGAAGAGTGGTCACAATCTTGACATGTAATTTGCCTATCACAAAATGATACAATCTAACCAAGTATTTAAGGAGACTTTTTTCAGTTAAAAGTTTAAGATGCTGAGGAAACAGAGGTAGGTGGATCTGTGAGTTTGAGACCAGCCTGGTTTACAAGACAGCCAGGCCTACAGGGCTACAGAGCAAGACCCTTTCTCAAAAACAATGTAAGATTCTGGGCCTGCAAGATGGCTCGGTTAACAAAAGATCCTGTTGAGAAAGCCTGGCCTGAGTTCACTACCTGGAGCCCACAGTGGAAGGAGACTCAACTCCTGAGAGTCGTCCTCTGCCCCCACAACACATGCCTAAGTGTTAAGATTTGTAGAATGAACCTGACTACGACTTATTGTCCCCAACTTGACAGACTAATTTGGCAATTTGATGTCCCATCATGTAGAATAACACCAAAAATATCCAAGTGACATGTAAGACATCGCCAATCCTCTCATTTCCTCCCTAAACTCATGCCGCTGTCCTTAATGACTTCCCAAACCAGAAACTACAAATCCCTTTTCCCCACAGTCATCCTGCTCTGTCAACCTTCTAAATATTCCAAATACCCTCCCCGCTGGGAAAGCTGTGGAAAGAAAAAGAATGAGATGCTGTCCAGGCATGGACACATGAGATTGCCAACAGGTCTCAAGATTTAAGAATCAGAAGCCGCAGGTTCTAGACTTGCCTTTACAGTGGTCTCATCTCACAAATGAAAATGTCTCAAACTCATACAACCAAAGACAATTTGGAAAGAACTATAAAACCACGCTGAGCTTCAGAGGAGTCATCCTTTCTGTCTTGTTTCTAATTCAGCTTGACTCGTCGATTGCCAGAGACTTCAGCAGTCACTCCTCCACAGTTTAATTGTTCTGTCATTTTCTAATGCGGCTGATGCAATGATGTTTTCTGTAGGGTGACAAGCCGCAGAGATCACAACATCTGTGTGACCTTGCAACTTCTGTATAATCTCTTTAGTGTGAAGGTTCCAGATGTAAACCATGTTGTCCTCCGAGCCGGACACAATCCACTTCCCACCAGTAACAGAGAAACTGGCGAATATGCAGTATTTCTCATTCTTATGGCCAGTGTACATCTTCAGGCATCTGCCTCTGCTGTAATCCCACAGTTTCAGAGTACTGTCCAGAGTTGCAGTGAGAATATATTTACCATTTGGAGAAAATTTTACAAAGGACACAGGAGGGTTACCCTCATCAGCAATTGTTTTTAAACACTGGCCTGAGGCGGCATCCCAGATTCTACAAAGACCATCATAGCTCCCCGATACTATCAAGGACCCACTGCAATTAAAATGTACGGCCGAAATAGGGTCCGAATGGGCAGACAAAGTCTTGAGGCACTTTCCTGTTTTCACCTCCCATATTTTCACACTCTCATCAAAAGATCCCGAAACGATGAGGTTGGATGGTGGGTTGAAATTACAGCAGAAAACGAAATCACTGTGTCCCTTCAATGTTTTCAAACATTTTCCAGATCTTACATCCCATAACTTTAGAGTCTTGTCGTCTGAGGCAGAAACGAGATGACTAGAATCTGAAGACCAGGCAACATCTGATATTTCCAGATTATGACCATGGAGTGTTTTCTTACATTTCCCATCATATGCTCCCCAAATTATAATTAGTGCATCAGCAGCAGAACTTGCTAGCCACTCTCCATTAGGACTAAATTTAATTGATGATACGGCCGCCGAGTGCCCCGCAAGAGTCAGTCTGACAGCATAGTTGGGTTTCTGAGGCTCTTCCTCGCGCTGGGTAGCAGAGAGGGCCGACTGTGCTCCCTCTGCTGGGGGATGCTCGGTCGCCATAGCTTGGGCTCTACAGTTTGCGCAGGCGTCCTGCCTCGAACCTTGCAGAAAATGAAACCTGCCTTTCGAAGGCGCACGGTTTTGACTGTAACATGGGTTCGTCTTTAGGTTCGGCACAGAATCAGCAGCGAGGTTTGGACCACTCTCCTCTCGCTTTCTTCGGTAGAGTCCGAGATCACAGTGGTTCTGACATCGGTACTCTTGCTGGATGAGGTTAAAGGACTAGGCCGTCCCTCGGGGGTTAGGGGGCTGCACAGAAAGTCCTCTTCCCCGCCCTCCCCAGATCCAAAATACCTGAGAACCACGAGCAACTGAGAACGCCACACTAAACAGGATTTGAGAGGCTCAAGAGCCGGGGACGCTCCACAGCGAAGGTCCACATCCACCAATGAGACCTGCTGGGCGGCGCCTGCGCTGAAGGAGGCCAGCGTTTGCTTCCGGTCCTCCTGGACCCTGCAAGCTGACGCTCAGCCCGGCTTTTCCCTGTGAAAGGCTAGGGCGTAGGAAGGGGCGCGGCCCTCGGACATTTAAGGAAGAGTGTGCACATAGCTGGTCTCTGCCCCCGCCTTCCTCCAATGCTGAATGTGGCGGCTACAAGATCTGCTTACTGTGGCTAGGGGACTGGAGCAGATCGAATGCACAGATCGCAAAACGAGTGGATTAAAACTCTTTTATAGACGTTTAGGGAACATTAAGATCCACATCACCACCTCCACCAGTGGGTGGTAGCGCACGCCTTTAATCCCAGTACGAGGGAGGCAGAGGTAGATGGATCTCTGTTGAGTTCAGGCCAGCCTACTCCTCTACAGAATCAGTTCCAGGCCAGCCAAGGCTATACAGTGAAGCCGTCTCGGGGAAAAAAAAAAAAAACCAACGAAAAAACAAGGTTATGATGAGAGAAATCAGCAAACCTTTGGTTTTTAGCCCGGATAGTTTAGGCTTCTGTAGAAAATAGATGAGGTAAGGTTCTTGAGGTGAAAAAAAGGACAGGTTGGTGGGAAGGTTTTTCGGAGCTCTGTCTTGTTAATAAGACAAAATTACCTGCCACTTCCCTCTTTAGCGCTATGGAAAATTTTGTTTCGGTGCATCGTGTGTTTTTACTGGTGCTTTTAATACACTCTCATAGTACAACCTGGAAAGGAACCCTTGCTCCACTTCCCAAGTGTTGGGGCTACAGGAATGGAGTGCATCAACTCCCATTCGTGAGGGGGCAGAGACCAAGGTGTTAAGGTAGGATTTCACTGTAATCCAGACTAGCCTAGAATTTAAAGCAACCGAGTTGCCTCAGCTTTGAAAGTACTAGGATTACAGGGTTGCTACCACTCCTGACTGCCTATCTTTAGTCTGGTTTCACCTTAATGTAGGTGCTGGGAATCCCACCTCCCTTCTGCCCTTTGGTTTTTCAAGACAGGGTTTTTGTGCACAGCCCTGGTTATCCGGGAAATCTCTGCAGACCAGGCCAGCCTTGAACTCAGGTGCTGGGATTAAAAGGCTTGCACCTCCATTAGTAGGTGGTATTGGGGAACTTCATTCTCTGGAATAGCAGCATGTTTTCTTACCCGCTGAATTCCCTTATATCGTGTATATTGTGCGGGACTATGGGTGGTTCAGAAGCCACCTTGTGAGTTGTCCTCATCACTGCCAGGCATGGTGAAAGGCAGGTCTCTTTATCCACTGAACCAGGTGCTTTCTTTTTTGAGACAGCTTCTCATTCTGCAGCCCAGACTTGAACTTGTGTCAACTTCAACCCAGACCTGTCAGTGCTAGGATGAACAGGGATGAGCCACCGAACCTAACGAAAGTACTTCCTTTCTCCAGTTAGCATGGGTTACAGTGACTTTTTTTAAGGTTTTCTCTGCATGTATGTGTGCATTGTCAGAAGAGGGCATCCGATTATCGTGGAACTAGAGTCAGATAGTTGTGAGCTGCATTTGGGTGCTGGGAATCCAATCCAGATCCTCTGAAGAGCGGCCAGTGCAGTGGTCCTCAACCTCTTAACATACTTCATGTTGTGGTGACCCCCAACCAATTATTTCATTGACACTTCATAACTGTAAATTTGCTGTTATGAATCAATGTAAATACCTGACGTGCAACCCCTGTGAAAGAGTCGTTTGACCCCCATAGGGGTCATGATCCACAGAAAACCACTTAGCCATCTTAAGCCTCACCTACTGTGATTTCTGATACATGGTGGTGGTCAGAAACCATTATTATCAAAACTTTTCATTTTTATTAACTCATGTAAAAGGAAACTGCATAACAAATTTAGGTTTTATTTAAAGTAAATATGTATTCTTCTAATAACTAGGAAGCCAAAAGGAAAAGATGGGTATAACCTAAGAGCTAAGAGACGGTGGTGCTGGATGTTTAGCCCACTGCACACATCACAAGCAAGAGGGATAAAAGACGTACAGACTTGATCATTAAGACACGGCTTTTACTTTGAAGAGTAAAACACTTCTTGATGTGTAGGATACCTTGTTTATAAATAGCATCAAGGACTTATGGAAAGAAAGGGCTCAGAATAGACCACTAACCATTACTCATGTTCAAGTATTAACAAGCTGCCCTAACAAATAACTAGGATTTGCTTAGCTCTTTGAGGAGTGGGCTTTGGTGACAGTGTTCACCAACAGGGAATAGTAAACCAAAGATAGTAGCAATCAGAGTGGGAGCCTGAGTTCCTAGGCAGGCTCATGCCTATCCTTTTATAGCAAACTACCCTTCTCAAATGACAAGGTGACCTCTACGTTTTAAGTTTTGTTCACTGCAGAAATCAAACAGTTCCTCTAAATTGTCGCAAGTCTCCAATTTATAGCACAAAAGCTGATGTCCCTGCTCTTCAGAACTTTCTAAATAGAAAACGTGCCAGACTTACCCATGGCCTAGGGAAGAAACCTCCATTCTGTGTGAACTGTTTAAACTGGCCTCTTTAAAGCAGCTCTTCAGACCACAAACCCAATTCCTACGCCTCTACCTAATCAGGAAAACTTATTCATACTAAATAGGACATTTGCCATGAACATTAGCTAAAACCAGACATTTTTTAAAGCTGAAGATGGCACAATTAGGGTGTCGATTGACCCATACATTTAAAAGTATCATCTTCAGCAACTCAGCAATCACTGGTGACCTCTTCCCATGACACATCATAATCACCTTACCCTGGTAAAAATCCATGCTGTCCAGGCCACGCCCAAGTCCTGTACTACTTTGCCCCCACCACTGGTCTTCTGGGTTTTCATTTTCTCCTTACCTATAGCCTGGATGATGGTTCATAAGGCAGTGACCATTAGAGTCCCTCTTCTGCATTCCACTTGCTTCCTTGGACTAAGGGCATATGGATAAAGATATGTAAAGCACAACTTTATTCTCCGCAAAAACATTGCAATCACACAGGAGCCTTTAGGGTTCACAATTTTTCCAATGTGGGGGAAACTGGTGCCTGCCCATAATTCCAGCACTCTGGCAGTGGAAGCAGAAAGGCCACTTCGAAGTTATCCTTGGCTATAAAAGCAGTTTAAAGGCAGCCTGGGCTTCAAGACACCCTATCTAAAAATACTGCCCCACATATACCCCCCCCCAAATGTAGGTGAGGTATGGGCAAAAATCAAGCTTGTAGTAAATCTGTACAATCAGCAATTGTGTACTGTAAACAACAGCTTGCATGAAATGAAGCTATTTTGATTAAATTTTCACAAAAATGCCAGACCAGCACATCTCAAAAGGAAAAGTGCAAACAAATAAACTCAAGAAATATACTTCGTATTCATTTGTCACATAAGCCTGGACAAAGAAAACATTCTCCTGCAATACACAGTACATGAAAATGGAAAGTCTCAACAGCCTCACCGCCTGCTTCCGTATCAGTTGGATATATTAACAAAACTTTTTAAAATTATTTAACTTCATTTTATGTACATTGGTGTGAAGATATCAGGCCCCCTAGAATTGGAGTTACAGAATTGTGAGCTGCCATGTGGTTACTGGGAATTGAACTCAGGTCCTCTGGAAGAACAGCCAGTGCTGTTAACCACTGAGCCATCTCTTCAGCCCAACAAACTTTTAAAACTTTAAAATATGCCAGAATAGACTGATATGTTATCTGCTATATCAAATACAGTAGGGTATGTATTAGCCTACAAAATAAGCCCCACAGCTTTTCTTTCTCTTGTTTTGATGCCACAGGCTTCTGCTTTGGCATTGTTTCTTTTTGTAAATTTCAGGTCCTTTTATGTATCCTCAAATGAGACAGTTTACGTTCAAACAACTGCTTTAAGAGTTATCAGTTCTGATTTCAGCCAACTGTGTGAAAGAATTCCTCTGAATTTTCCTTTGCAATCAAGCACCCAGTACTATCACAGATGTATATTCCTCATACATTATTTATTGAAAATTTACTATATGCAAAGTATTCATCCATGGCCCGGCAGAGTGCATTTAAATACAAAGAATCAATAGTCATTCCAAATCAAGTGTAGGAACACTCTTGAGAAAGGGCACATGATGGCCAAAACATCTTGAGGTAGGAAATGTCCAACAAGTGAAATAAAGGGAGATGTCTACAGGAAAATATACTTTTAAGTAATAGTAGGCTGAGCTAACGTTACACCCATGGTGCTGACTATAAGAGTAATTATTCTGCAACCCCAAACTTTTCCCTGTCAGTACCCTCCTATATTTTCACTTGAACAAAAAAATGTTCTATGAGTTTAGCCATTATGTTACTAAATTAACAATCAATCATTTGAATTTCTTTTAAACCTCTGTTAGACTTGTCTGGCTATATATAATTTTAGTACTACAGAAAGTGAAAGAAACTTGGGAACAAGGGAGTCAATTCATCTATATGAATATGTAAATTAACAGCAATTGTGATATATGAGACAGAGCCATTTATAAGTATTGCCGATGAGGAACAGATAGGAAGAATGGTCCAATACAGAAGGATTGCCCACCGATGACTATTAAAATCTAGCACAGGACTTCCTGAGCACAGAAATGTTGCATGACCATGAAGAACAGAACTTGCGAAGTTCTCCTTTGGACAGCCACCATCTAAGAATTATGACAACGGAGCAAAGTAATGCATTCAGTCTTGATCTTGCCATACATTGATAACTATCCATCTTAAATAGCAACTAGAGGACTGATTAAAGGAAAGCCCTTAGCCAATTACCTTGCATACAATAGACACTAAATAACATGACTTGTTTTTATTTGATCCAAAGGAAAACAGACATTTCTGACAACTCTTAGCTGAAAATAGAATTCTTATACCACTAATATTTCTTTTTTTTTTTTTTTTTTTTTGAGACAGGGTTTCTTTGTGTAGCTTTGCGCCTTTCCTGGAACTCACTTGGTAGACCAGGCTGGCCTCGAACTCACAGAG